CTACAAGTACCGTCTCGTCTATTAACTCCTCTACGATGCCCTCTTCACTGCTGAGGTGCTGTAAATGCTGCCATCGGCGAAAGACATGCCAGTATAGCAGTGACGTGTTGAGGAAGCTGCACGTGGTGCTATGCATGAATTCGGTCGGATAGCCCAATAAGTGGGAGACTACTTCGACTTGTGACAGTGCACGCTCGGTAAACACACGATTGGCCACGCGCATCAGGAACTGCCGAGTTTTGTTTTGCGTCGCATCTTGCGTTGTGCGAGTCTCTCTCGCTGCACTGTCGGCTCCTGCACCTTTCTCACCTAGAACGGGTAAAAATTCCGAAGCGGCGGCAACGCGTTTCCATACTGGATCCTCTACCTTGGTCGCATAGTTCGTCACATAGAATACTAAGGCCTTCGTCTTGCACTGAGTGGCAATGAATGATATATCGTGGTTGTGTCGCAGCCCGACCGCTATTGCCTTGTTCCATCGATTTACAAGCGGGTGCGTTCTACGAATTCGTAAAACGCCATCATCCGTGAAAGCCGTCTTCTCGATCAAGTTCCAAGGCGCACGAAATCGACAGAGGTTTCTCCTTGCATCTCGACGGGCGAACGAATACTTTACGCAAGTGGGGCTATGTGTATGGATCTGTGTTGCCCCAGCACAGAAGTTTGCTTCCTCGTCGAAATCGGCGGTAAGCTTCGATGTGTTATTGACCAGTTCGGATACGTCAGTCGTAACGCGCCTGTGCGATTGCACGGCTACGAAGGCTTCCTCGTCCAACTCCTTCCACTAGAGTTAGTGCAAAATTTCATCACTGGATTAATACTGACTGCTATCCATACCTCCGAGAAGATGCTGTCTGCGAATAGAGCAATATCTTCGCCATACCCTTCTTCTTTGTTCTGACCCAACTTATGAAGCAACGACCCAAAGTGCAGATTACCTTCCAACCAGAGAAGGCCGTGGAGGTGAAGCGCCCCTCTTTCATTAGTCTCCACAGCTCCGAAATACTGGCTGATCCGGCCAAAGACCGACTCTTCACCGACCTTGACGTAATGTTCGAAGAAGAGTGAGATCTCCCGATGGAAGAAGATGGCTGAACTCATTGGGTCTGAAACGGCTAGTCTAGCACGCTTATAAGCCACGTCTAGACTCCTAAGAAATTCCTCGGCATCTTTTGCGTCCCGTGTTCGATATGATGCTAACCGAAGCTTGATTGGATTGGTGATGTCATTGGGGTTCAACGTAAACCAGATGGCTGGCATCCCGTACCGTATTATGAGAGATTTGATCTTCCTCCGAAGACTAAGTCTTTGCTCACGAGACATAGGCTGCCGGTGCCCATACACTGAGATGCTTCTTAAAAGTTCTTGAACAGCTTTATCGCTGGTGTTGTTGGATTGCTGCAACTCCTTTTGCGCCGCTTCTAGTCTTGTCACGGTCAGATCGCCGACCAATCGCTCCAATTGCGAAAAGTTCTTTCTGTTCATGCTCAGCATGCTGATTCGACGATTCCTCGACCTCAGTCCCAAATTAAAGGCCAAGAAGGGGAACACGTGGTGGTTGGCGAAGCGACCGCCATGTCGGCGTAATACAATTTCAGTCCATGCCCTCAAGCTCATGTTTCGAGAACCGATAAGACCTGACGCCGTAGCAACGGGCGCTGTTCTGTCTACGCCTTTCCTAGGACCTGTTTTTCCCATCGAGCCCACCATGGCTTCTTCCGCCAATCTAGGACCGCCGAAACCGTACGGGAATAAGGTGGGAAATGCTTTGGCAAAGAACCAGGTGTCCAAACCGTCGGCAAATTCATCGCCACGAGATATGTGTATGTAAGGCTCTTGCTTCTGCATTCTTGCACGTTTGACACCGACCGATCCCTTGACTCTACTATCGGGAGCTGACTGACTGTTGGTAGCGTCTTCGGTGTCTTTGCGTACTGTACTACAAAAGTACCTAAATTTCTCTGCCTCTGGAATATCGGGTGCACCATCAAGGCCAAACATACCGGCTGCATTGACCTCAAAGAGTGTGTCGCCTCCGCCACTCTCGGCCTGTTCATCATGTTCAGCATGACAACCCCCCTGGCACTCGCCGTGAATGCCCTGTGATAAATCGGAAAATTCTGGCGGATCTTCCGCCGAACGGAGTTGGGCGATAACCTCCTCGATATTACCCTCGTGTTCTTCCATATCGGTGCCGCGCTCAGTCGGAGGGACAACCTGCGCGGTCTGGATTTTCTCCCGCGCGGACGGCTCGTTGCGCTCCATTCGCTCATAGATCATGTGCGGAACTCCATCCGAAAAGCTAGTCCAGTTGTTCGTCTCAGCCACATCAATCGTTATATCTCGGTAATGGCGGTTGTTTTTCTTCAACCACCTGAGCGCCGCTTCTACCTTTCCCCGACGTACAGACAGCAGTCTAGACAAGTCCGTTGGCTCAGGCCGTTCTCTACCGTGCCACGAAACATGTATGTTCTCCATCACCTGCACTAGTGGATGGGGTAGGACCTTTGTGGCTAACTCCTCCACATTGTTGGGGAACACTAAAATATGCCCTTTCACATGTCTTGGATACCTCATATCTTGCCTATGACCACTTTCGATGCTATGCTTCGTGATGAAGCCATAACACGAGTTTAACGATATAAGCTTTTCTTCTACAGGAGTTAGCCCCTTAAGATCGTCAGGATAAATATGCTCACAACCTAATCGAGTGTGAAGTTGTGCAGCAGGTGATAGCATCCCTCGCTCTAAAAGCCTTGCGCAGCTTTTGCATGAGGTGACACTGTCGGCATTGGGATAGCAGATCACGCATAAAGGCATCGGCGATCTACTTCCATCAACGACCAAGGACTTCCAGTCGATAGAGCTGACAATTTCGAGGTCTTCTTCAGCACATTTTCTGTAACAGACTGAACAGGTCTGTAATGGAAGTGTCTTGCTATTATGCATGGCGCTGTAGAACTTCTGAACTGTCTCAACCTTTCTGTCGAGGGGTATTGGCTTGCACCACCCTCTTGTCGACGATAGCTTGCTTTTGTTTTCGTACTCGTTCTCCAGCCATTGCAAAACATCCTTCAGGTCGTCACTTTGATCAGTTTTCGTCCTTTCTCGACGTCCTCCGCTGCGAGGCCGCTTCAACGGCTGGCTCGACTCCTGCGACCGATGTTTTCTCTTGCGCGAGCGGGAACCGGCCTGCGAGCCGTTCAGTTCTGCAATTCTTTGAATTTGAATTTGTTCTGGCGCATTAAACATTATTTCATGCACCCCATAACTTCCCCTGGGAGCTAGAGAGGGACCCAGTGAAGCTGCTCCCCCAAGTGATGTCGCCAGAGGCATTTGGGTGCTTATTTCGTGTCGGCCGATCCCTATTCTGTTGGAGAGATCCGTTGGCTTCTTTCCCCTTCCCCTTCTCCCTGGCCCTTCAGAACCTGTATGTGTTGGTACAAATGGGTTTCTCTCTATAGCGCACCACCTTGCACCGGTTTCCTGAGTTATTGACCACACTATTTCCCTGCCATGGTTTGCGGCCGGCGGAAATCGACCATGACTCAACGTCGAGCTGCCTGCCGAGTCTCTTAACCTCCTCTGACTACTCTCCTTTCTCAGATTAGCCTTTGTTTGCAAGTTACTGCCCTCTCCCTCACAATCCAATATCCCGTTTTGCCTCTCTTCAGGCCCTTCCCAAAAGACAAACTCCAATTCTCTGGAACCTGTTTCTTCCTCTCTAGCTGAAACAGATCGTGTAGGGAGCGACCCAGGGCCATTCCTACCCCCTTTAGGCTGAGTCTGGTGGCCGCTCGATTGCCTCGATGCATCGGTATCGTCCTTTTCTCCTTGCCGACCACTCCTTTTCCCTCGACCTTGCGCCAGATCCGACATTCTCACATCCACAAACCGAAATTGACCAGCCGTTGGATGAAGAGGCCTGGAACGTCTAGATTCGCGCATGACCCTCTGAATTGTCATGCGCGAGCTGACATGGCTATCCCCTGGTCCCGCTGGCCTTCCGACTTGCGATTTACTGCCTGGCTTTTCGCCACCAACGGTCGCTATGGGCATTGGCAAGAGAGGTCGAGGAGTTATTGATTCACGCATGGCACTCCCGGTGCGCTGATTCGAACTTTCCTGTGCGACGATTCTTGCTACATTGCCATCCTCTTTCACCTGTCTTGCCGGTAGAAGAGGTCGGGCGACTCTTGATTCGTGCAAGGTTCTCTGAACCTCATCGCGCTGCGTAGACTTGGCTCGCCCAGGGCTGCTCTTAGACCTCGAGTGGTTCGGCATTATTGCACTGCTTGCTTCATTCTGACTTGTGCTTGGCGATGGCAATATTAGTCGGAAGTCATTTGACGCGCACGACGGTCGGTGGGTAGCCTCCTGAGTCCGCACATCTCCTCGTGTTGCCGCAGTATGTCTATCATCGCTTTTTGAGTCTATTGAGGCCATGGCCATTGGAGTCTTGTATTTTCCGTTTATCATTGCTGTGCATACATTTCAAATGATCTGGACTCAAAACCACTCACTCGGCTGTCTACAACCCAGTCAACCAGACATTCTGGCAGAATATATCTGATTACAAACGTCCTTCCCACATTCAATACTGCAGCCTGTTTTGTACACAGCGACGGGTGGTCTCGGAATGGCCCTTAGCTCCGGCATGCTCACTATCTCATCACCATCAGGGTAGTAGATTTGAGGAGTCGACGGTCAATGGCTATGGCTTCGGCGATAGCCTCTGTCACGTGGAATGCAATGCACGATGCATCACATGCGACAGTAGCTGTCTGCTCCCTTTCTTCGTAGTGACTGGTTCTCCCGGGAAAACACATGCAAGAGCGGTCATGTGAGACAGCGGCTACGTGGATGAAGACGAATTTGGCCCCCAATGGCCCCCAAGCATATCAGGCCACAACAGCCCTAAAGGTTGCAACATAACCAACAAAAGACAGCAATATATTGACATTTAGTCCCTATTCTAAGGAACTAAAGTGAGGGGCCATGAACAGATATCGGCATATATCGGCAGATGTCAGGCTATAGACACAGACCGGCTAATGTTACCGGTACTTGCCGCACAATGAAATAAGAAATCCATGCTGATTCCCACATCCATCTATCCGCAGTTGTCGCCCATTGACATCCCAGCCGGAATAAGATGATAGCCCTATAAGATGCCTCAATTAACTATACAACATCCACCCTAACCGAGATCACTTCAGTACCAAACCACTTCGCTTTCAACTTCATGGTCAATAATGGCTTCATCGCCTCCTTTGGCTCTGTCTACTTTTCGCAGGCCATTTGACATTCAGAGAAATGTAGGCAGCGACATGTCCATGATGGCCCTTGTTCAGACAGGATGTCCCTCGAGGTTTGCCTCATCCATCGAACACCGTATCAAGGGCCTCAACACGGAGACCATTGCCCGTATCTGCTTGCCCACTCCCCCTTGGCTAATGAACCCAGAATATGCAGCTCTTCAATCCGGCAAAGGAAACCCTGATGAACATATATACGTGAGCCTCAATGTTGCCCTCTACAACCAGCAGCTCGATCCTTCGGACTGGACCGACCAATGGTTCTTCATGGCTGGCCGCGTCCATCCATATGCCCTGACTTGGCAGACTACCCAGCTCGACGGCTTGGAGACTGAGATTGGTACCATTACCGAATACACGATTCCGGCCTTTATTGTTCGAGAATCAAGCTTTCAACCGTAAGAGCCGTAACTTATCCCTTCTGCGACTGAAGCCGAGACTAAGCTGTCCCTGTATGTAGCATATTGCCTCGCAATCTCACCTCAGTTGATGCATTCCCTTCTATGCCTCCCACCGTCAGTCTCACTGGTCCCGTTATTGGCTTTGGCCACACCCTACTGCGAGATGAGGTCGTCTCGACCCTCGGGGACATACAAATGCGATGTTGCAGCTTCATTCAGCTCTCCTCCTTCATCACACCAGGTGATCCCGTGAAGCCCTTCAGAGGCTTCCACCCTTTTCAAGTCTTTATCATATTCCCCATCCACGCCAATCCTTGGTCCACTTTGTGCAGAAAAATGATCGACAGGCAGGATTCACATTTTCAAACTGGCGCGCCATTCACTTGTGCCGGCAAGGTCGTTGGTCTATTGGACCACGCGATAATGACTCGACCACCCGAGCTCGAACGCGACCACGTCTTTATCATCGTTCCGGACACCTGGACATTTCTTGACAGAAATTCCGCCTCCGCTTCATCATCTGCGCCTCCGCCGTTGACTCCCACAAAGACCTCTGCTTCTGCACCAGCATCATTTTCGCAAGTTGCCGCAGGGTTCACAACCACCTTCAAGCAACAGAATGGCAGCTCCAACGCACTGCCAAGCCCGGATGCATCACCAAAAACTGTTCGAGTTGTCGCAGCCGGGACCAAGCGCCCTCGCCAAGTCCCGTCCAATCCACCAGAGCAAGGCAGTCCTATCAAACAACCTCGATTTTCTTCTCAATCTGCATCAAATGTCTCGTCCACCACTTCTTCCACTGTACAACACGACTATTCTGACCCTGAATCCGCAATATTGAAGGATCGCCCCCCTACCAAAACTGATACTGCCTTATTTATAACAAGTACAACCAGCCTCGCTTCACCAACTCGTAGCAACATCATAGCAGCGCCCACCGAGGCTGCCAATCGTCCTCACCGCTCAAGACAGCCAAGCAAAAAGGTCCAAGAAAGCAACGTTGGCTAAGGAATTCAGAATGGTTTTTTTCTCTTAGTGGTTAGCCAAACAATGAATCTCGCTTAGAATCTGATATCCTCATACCCTACCCGTCACCTTGTGCATATCTTTTTATGCTCTTTCCAGCCTCGCTTTTGATGCTCCTTACTGCAGTACCCTGCCATTTGACACCCTCCGCATTTCTTGATCTGTTGTGTGCTCCCGCACCATTTACAAAATAATATTTCCGTAGCGGTGCTAAACCCCGAGCCCATCACGTTGCCTCCAAGCTCAGACATGGTACCGGAAATTTCTCGTCGAGCGGCAAATTCGCAGGCTCCCGTACTGCACTGGGCTCACCCACACCCCGATAAAGGGGTCAGACTTGTGGTGAAGCCAAGACATGGGCGTCTGTAGAATCTCCTTCGTAGCCTCCCCGCATATGCCACAAGTCGGACCAGATGCGTCTTAGTATTGCTGCTTCGTGTCGTTTCAATATGGGTTTCAATGTCGCCAAAAACTGTTTCATATATATAATCCGGGTTAACATAAGCTGTGGCAGCATTAAAAATAAGCCGACTTGGAGCATCGTGAGCAAATGACAGTTCCTCATTTGTTGGTCGCGCTTCAGCACCCCCCGCACTTGTAACATCTGATTATCATGCATGCGGACGTCTAGACCCTGGCGGGATTAGCCTGTATTCAGCCCATGCAAGCGTGGTAACGAAGCCACCTGCCTATATGTGCACTTGCAAGGCTCATTTCCCACCCCAAAATCTCTCTTTTTTGCAGACTTCGTTCCTCAAGGCTTTGATGCGCGAACCGCGACACGGTTCGCCTTCTTCCTGTGGATTCTGGCATGTTCCTTCCCCTTTTGGCACGAAAAGTCCGCTCTTCACCGCCCAACGTTGGCTTGGCCCGTATTCTGGGGCCCTTGCCTCCTCACTCTTTTACGAAATCGATGACAGCCAGCGCGACGACCCCGGCCCTTCACAGATAACCTCTAACGCCTTGCGGGTGGCCGACTTACAGATGCTGCTCTTCCATCAATAACTATCTCTGATGATGGCAAAGTCTCCCACATGATCTATATAGGTTCTTGCGATCAACAGTCAAGTACTATTGGGAGTAGATGAGTGGCTACTTAACTAGGTAGTTACCCTATTCTAATTGCAAGACTTGTTTTCTTGTTCTATAAGCCCTCCGTTTTAGCCGCACATCTCGCTAGCAGCTTTACTTGCTGAGCTATCTTGCGTAGGCAAAGCTATTTTTCTAGCATCCAGGCTCAACTGCCAAGTGTGGAACTCCACTAGGGTTGTCTCACTTAGGTCCTCCAGTCGGTCTTTGGCTATGGTCATACTCTCTGGGGTTGTATTACCGATAAAATCCCTCTTTCTGACCTTTGACAACAACATGATGCCGTCCAATGTTGGACACCGCGATAGCTGAACGTACAGGCTGCAGGGATCGCAAGCCAATGGAACCGCTTCACCATTGAAATTAGTCGTCCGCGTCCCGCGTAGCTCTAAGGCCACACGCTCCAGCGTCCGACCTTGTACTTTGTAGTCTGTGCAAGCAAACGCTGCGGTGCAGGGCAACCCTTTCCGCGAGCAGTCCGTTTGTTGCCACAGCCGCTTCCTTTGGCAATTGATCCTCACCCTCAACGGCGTCAAGAGAATGGTTCCTGGCGGCATGCCAACAAAGTTGAAGGCCTTGGTTGAGTCAGCCTTGAGTATTATCCGGCTCCCACTGGAGCGGCGCCCAGGCGCCAGGATAAAATCGGCGCCCGGGCGTCGCGATACCGTTTTAGCGGGCCGCACGTTTTCTGATTGGCCGAGTCTTTTACATGCGGACACTGTGTGTAGCTGTATTATAGGCAATTGAAGTGAATTGAGGTTTCAATGTGCAACAACTAATTATCATGGGGAGAAAAGTCTTGCCTGAGCCTGCGCATCATCTTCTGCTTGCTGCCATACCTGCCTTGTACCACGTCTGCTGGCTTCCTTGGGATCGCGATCAATCCGCGACTTGACCTCCGCTTCGACACGTCGATCTTCTGCGGTATCCAAATCGATATAAGCCATCATCTCTTCTTTAGTCCATTCCCGTCTTTTACGTCCAGATGAAACACAGTGCTGGCCCATTTGCTTGTAATCTCGACACCATATATACAAGTCTTTCTGGTATCTCAGTGGAAGTCCCATGGCTCTGCGATATGCTTGGTTTGTCTTCAAACTGCCTCTGGGTTGGCTGTCATACCAGGCCTGTCTTGCTAGAACGTAGCGTCTATAAATCGACTCAGGAGCATAGTGAGGCAAGAGCGTCTCTTCTTCTATTGTAGCATCTGACGGAGCACGTTGTGTCATTGCATCGACCTCCCGATTCGAAGAATTTGTGTCATGAGACTTCGGCGATGTTTGCAAGTCGGAGTCGAGAGTTCGTGGCGTCAGCTGCACTACTATCATATCCTCAACTCTGTCATGGGTCGTCTCATTTGTTCCGTGAATGAGAACCCCCTCATCTGTTTTCTGATCCATTCGCTGACTCACAACGTAACCCAGGTCCTCGTTCAATTCCTCGTTCACCTCATGATCTAATCGTTGATCCACTTCTTTAGTCCCTGTACACGACGTATCGCAAACTGTTTCCTCTAGCTGGCATGCTAAGCCATTTTCAGCGCCAGCAGACCAGCCAGCTAATGCTAGCGACACATCTCTTGGTTCAGCTAGTTGTGGTATAGAGGACTCCAGGATTATCTCCTGTTGCCGCAGTGGGCATATTCGTGATGACCTCGTATGACCAACTGCGTGACATCTTGAGCACGTAGGTGCAGAGCGGCCTTCTACATGTTCAAACATGCTTGGTTCTCGTTGCGTGCTTGATTTAGCCATGGCTGATGCCTTCTGTATCCTCGACTCAACTCGAATGGGCTCGAGTATTAGCTGATGTCGCCCCTCATTGCGCTTGAGGTGCCACTGTTGGTGGAAGTCATCTATGCTAAGAGCTTGATTTCTTTCCAGAGTTTGCTTTATTTTATGGACGCAAGGCAAACCATGGGATTTGGTGAACGTCCCGCTACAAACCATGGAAACACGGGGATCCGTTTTCTCTAGTAGCCGCCTTTGTTCATCAACCTTTCTCATTGCCTCGTGTGAGACCCAGCCATGTACAGCACTGAACAAACTGCCGCCCAAATGCTCTGTTGGCTTTCGGGTCTGTTGTCTGGCTTGGGTTGATCGTATCTCCGAAAGCTGGTTTTCGACTGCATGCTTGATGGTTCTCCAGACGTCGAAGAGATCGAACTTGCTGGTCTTGAGGTATGACTTCAGCAGCGCATGAATTCCCTCCACACGCGAAGTGACTGCATTTCCAAAGTGCATGTGCTGATCGACCCAGGCTTTGACAAGTTTCTCTTTGTAGGGCTGGAGCCAAGTCTTTTTGATATATGCTACTTCTTCGGCATGGAGTGGAAGGTATTTCTCGTCAAATGCAGCCACACGCTTGTTGAACTCGGCCTCTGTGGGCGATTGCATAATAGAATGCCAAAAGTTGTAGAATTCACCCCATTTAGCTGATTTACGGCCTGCCAATCGAGATGCATCTGCTGCTATGCCTGCTGCTAACTGTTCTTGTAACGTGAAGATGGGAAGACAATGTGCAAGCACGGCTCTGTTTGCATGCCAGAGGCATAGCAAGGATTGCGCAGCGGGGAAAACGTCATCAATAGCGTTCAAGCACGCCACACAGCGATCCGAGAGGACCACAGAGGGAAGTTTGGCATTGCATACTTCATAAAGCGACCGAAGGCGTTCCAGAGCCCAAGCGTAATCCTCTTCCTGCTCACCGCTAAGGAATGCGAATGCAATGCAAAATGACCGGCGACAGGCATCGACCCCAATCATATCGAGGAGCGGCATTTGGTATTTATTTGTCTTGTATGTGCAGTCTAGCAGCAAAAGTTCAGAATACGATTGC